CGTACTCATCCAATTGCACTGCCATTAAACCCTTAAGATCATCTCATTCCAACCTCCTGCTATAGGCAGGGACACCTCCCACTACACCAGGTTGCTCACAGCCCCATCCAGCCTGGCCTTGTGCACTTCCAGGAAGGAGGCATCCACAACTTCTCTGGGCAACCTGCTCCAGTGTATCACCACCCTCACAGTAAAGAATTTCTTCCTAATATTTAGTCTAAATAGACCCTCTTCCAGTTGAAAGCCATTTCTTCGTATTCTTCTTACAAAAGATTTCTTACAAAAGTATTCTTCTCACAAAAAAAGTCTCCAGCTTTCCTGCAGCCCTCTTCAAGTCCTGGAAGGCTGCTATAAAGGTCCCCCAATGCCTTTTCCAGGCAGAAGAACCTCAGCTCTATCAGCCTGTCCCCACAGGGTATGTGCACCAGCACTCTCATCATCTGTGTGGCCCGCCACTGGACCAGCTCCAACAGCTTCATGTCCCTCTCATGCTGGGGGCTCCAGAACTGGATGCAGTACTCCAGGTGGAGTCATGCAACAGCAGAGGGGCAGAATCACCTCCCTCTACCTGTTGGTCACACTGTTGATGTAACCCAGGACACGGTTGGCTTTCTGGACTGCAAGCACACACTGTCTGCTCACCCTGAATCTTTCAACAACCAACAGTGGTTGATGAACAGTTCAGTATCTACAGATATCTTTCAAAAGCAAAGAGATGGAGCTCCTTCCACCTCAAAAAGCTGTACCAAAAAGTCAGTGACAAAAATCTGAACTGAATAATCGCTATTCCAGAGCTAGAAACAGATAGCTAAGGTTAAAACAAATTGAGAAATAGCTACCAAATAAATGCATTGAAATGACAAAGAGTGAGACTCCTACAGATTATTTTAAATACTGAAATTAGTGACCCTACCTTCCACCAAGTTATTGGTGTTCTCTGATAATATAAAATACACTCCAGATTTTAGCATTAGGTCAAGACTTCCAAGTGCAAGTTCCATCCAATTGTTTATTTCAGACAAACCTGATCTATTCTCAGTGGTAAAGCCCAGAGATAACACTTGGATGTTTCCCCATATTATGAAACATTTTAAGAAGAACCCTAAGTTTAATTCCTGAGTAATGAAGTTCTCAGGAAGGCTGAAGAAATCAGACTGCTCAGCCCTTGAAAATATTTAGGGCTTTACTGAAAGAGGAAGCCTTGAGTATTTCGAGTGATTTAAATAAAAATGCACAAAAGAAATGGAGAGAGAAGAATTGCAGCTCGGGTCCCATGTATCTGCTGGTGACTGACATTCTTGCTCTACATTCTCATTTTGCCAACAGTATGAGGATTTGACCCTCTCCCACTCCCAATGCATTGTGTTGAGAAAGTGAAGAATGATCAGATATTAGCCTGGTAAATAACATGAGAGCCCAAAATGTTAAAAATGAAACGGTGTAAAAACTTGCTCAGCAGAGACCCGAAACAAAACAGGCTGCTCCACACAGCCAGCAGCAGACTGCCCCAAGCATCGCCTCTGATCTGTAAATGGAGGTTTTATTTTTAAGATACTGTTGCCTCCCCACTGAGCCCTCCAGGAATACCTATGCAGCAGCTCTCAGCCTCGCTCAGCCTCAATTGCATGGAGCTTGCTACCATCAAGGCCTGCACTTGAGCCACAGCTGAGAAGCCAAGAGACCTTCCCAGCTGAAGCCTCCTCTTGTCTTGTTACACTTCTGTCTGAGTGACAGAAGCCCCAAAGACTCACTGCTCCTCATTTCCCACCTCAGCTGTCACTGGGGCCTTGCACTTCAGTTAACAATGACACAGCCGAGCGAGGGCATGCTTGAAGTAGTTTGTATTGGCAACAGGACACTGAACTCCCACCCAGCTCTGCCTACAGGTCAGCACTGTCAAAAGATGCTGAGATCTAAAAAGCAGACTGTTACAGCTTCCAGGTGGGAGTGAGCAAGTCTGATCATTTAGCAACAGAAGCTCTTGAATGAGAACAGTAATAGCATCCCTTCCTGTATAGTGTTTTAACCCAGCCCAGCAAGTGTCCAGATCACTGACAGCTGAATCTGCCAGGCTTATCCAGGAAAGGATTCCTCTTGTATCTGCCTAATTTCTTATGCTCTTTCCTTAACTGTCTACTACTTATCACACTTAAAAAGATCCTAGGACTTAAGTCAAACCTAATGCAGGCACCTGTATGTGCCAGATCAGATTCAGAATGTTCCAGATCAGATTCAGAATGAGGCTGCTTGGTTTTCCCCAAGTCTGTCTAAATTACACAGACCAGCCCCAATACTCTTACAGTGCGTCATGCAAAATCTCTTTACCTACAAATCCAACAATAGAAAGCTGCACTTTAAGCTGTTTCACAATGGAAACTCTCCTAAAATCTCTTTCGATATCTTGTCAAAATCAGCATGCTCTGTGACTAGATGACTGTCAGAGTGATCTATAGCCCCTAGCTAGCACTGTAATATAAGCTAAATTGCCTGAGTCACAAGCAATGATAGAGTCATTCTACAGGAAATTGGAAATCAATTCTTGTCATCACTGTACATAACTCCTTTATCAGAGTTCCAGTTCACTGGTGTAACGCAAGGGAAAGAGGCTGGGAACTGACAATCGTGACAAGTTGAATAGTCACACACAAATATATGAAGTGCAGAAGTTCTGTCTGGAATAGCACTTTCCATATGCTATGTGCCAGGTCTGAGCAGCCTGACTGGGTAAAATATTAAAGGTTAACAGTGGTCACGTACTTGTAAGCAGAAAAAGCCATAGGTGCGTTGCTTCGTATTACATCAGGAGGATGTTTGTACCTGGTGTTAGAGCATGAGAATAGGGCCCACAGCCAGGAGTGTTCTTTGTGCAGTGAGTCCTGGCAAAAGAGAAGGGACAACCTTCTGCTAAACGACATACACAGTTCACAAGCTGTTTCAGAAGCCAGGGCAGCAACATCAGTGCCAGCAAGCTTACCAACAAGTCATGCAATTTGCAACGCTTTCATTCAGGATGCCATTACCAGCAGCAAGTAGGTAAATCAGTGTTGTTAGTAAGGAGGATCCACTCACTTGGTTCTCAGAACTAAGAGGAAAAAAGAATCCAATGCATTGCTATTCATAGAGGATACCATCACCTTTCTGTCAGTTATGTTACCTATATGTGCTAATGCCTCATTTTTATCTAGATTAATCATCTAATCTCATTAAAACAAGTACTAAATTTATTTGAAAAATATATATTTTTAAATCTCCTCGAAACAAACAAAACTTTTATTTCTGCATCCTGAAGTGCCTTTGCAGGAAAGCAGACTCACCAAGCTTCCAAATATACACAGCAAAACCACAGCCACTTCACAGGGCTGCAGAATGGTTGAGGTTTCTTTACACAAACACGCTTCCAACTACATCATACTGACAGTCTGGGATGCAGGAATATGATCAGTGCATGTGGAGTCCAGCACAGCATATTCCTGAGCTTAACACAGCAGTCCTAACCTAAAACAAGCGCTCCTACCAAAATACAAATTCAAAGAAAATCGAATACAAAGAGCTCTGTGTAAAGTATGAAAGTTTTGTTTCTTTCTTCCCAGCTAACTAGAGAAAAAGCAGTTCATCCACAAACCAAATGCAATTGGACAAACACTGTGGGTTCCTCTCCACGAGAGCCCAAGGGAAGCACTCTTCCATTAAGCAGAGCACAGACCATGAAGCAAACAACCCGACATCCCACCCATTGCCACAATGACTGGCAGAGCTTGGACTGCTTCACAAAGAGAGTCTGTTCCTTGCTCTGAAAGAGCTGCTTCAACGCACTGCAACAATGTCTGGCATTAATCAGGCTAGAGGAGAGCCAAGGGGCTATCAGAAAATGAGAAACTAAATGCCATCATCTTGTGTTAATTAGCTGGATTTAGTTTACATAAACCACTGATTTCTTTTATTCTTACTGCCCTACAAATCTAAATATGATATTGTTTAGATTTTCATAACTATGTCTGAACAAAAGCTCATTCATTCTCAACTTCTGAAGTGTATGAATACTTTTCAGCTCTCCCGTGCCATCACTCCGAAATATGGCTGTTAGATGCTTAGAGAGTAGTTGGGAAAGGAATTTATATTTCATAGCATAATAGTTGCAAGGGTTTTTTTTGTTTTTTGTTTTTGTTTTTAGAAAAATATAATTCCTTATTTCTTTCTTTGTTTTGAAAGCAAATTGAAATCCACTCCCTTGGCATCCCAGAAGGACACTCAGCGCCACTCAGAAAGCCTTACAGGAGTTTAAACGCACCATCCACCCTTAATGACATGCCATTATTCACTAAACTGTTAAAAATTAATCTGGTAGATAGGAATTTGGTCAGATGTTTGTTTAACATCATTACACAGTTTTGAACCCACAAACCAAAGGAAGAGGCTTTTAATTACGGCACATGGAAGAAGAAGAGCATGAAAGCGTAACATTTAATTTGCAGAGTGTTGTTACACAATGTGTATTCCTTGGTGGCAAAGCCAGCATCAGAGGTTCCTGCTGCACTCCACCTCTCCCTCCTTCTTGTTCCCACTGATGTAATGCTGTGATGCATATTCATCACTGCAGTAACCCAGGATATCATTGGTTATCCCTGAAAAAGTGTTGGAATCCCTATAAATGCTTCTAGGACAGCCTCAAAAACATCCCACAGCACAGGTAGAAAACACTGGCCTGGAAATAGAAGCGACTCAACATACGCAAAACTTCATGCTAAGTGTCTATAACATACCATCGTGCTAATATTGACCTGGTTCACTGAAGGCCGGCACACAGCCCTCATAAATTAAGCCAATATGATACAATGCTGGTTAAGAACAAGCCGCTCTAGTCACAGGCTTCCTCAGGTTGACACAAGAATACGCTGGCCTTGAAAGGCCTGCCCTCACACATCACCACGTTGATGCTTCCAGTTGAGGAAATATGGGCAGTGCTATTCTGACAGCTCACACTGCTTCTCATGGTGTCTGGTTCAGTCTGGAGTGCCAGCAAAGCAGCAATTACAGCAAGTCGTGCAACACTGATGCTAGCAGCCAGCCGGCCTTCAGGCCCACAGCCATCCTGCAAAAGCAAAGCAGCACTGCTTGCTGATCTGTGGTACGCACAGGTCTGAAGTCATCCAAAAAGCCCTACAGTGGTAAAAGCTACTCAAGTAGTAGAGGAATATCGCTTGTGAAAAACCAGAAAGTTACCAGGGGCTGCTAATGCTACTCATTGTTGGATCCAATCTCTCTTCCCCTCTCCAAAGTGAGGCTTTAAAGTATTCCAGTAAGGAACACATGAGCAAACTGTGCCCAGCAAAAGTTGTGCAAGTCATGAATCTTCTCTGCAACTGCCATCATAACCATGGGAAAATATTTTATAGCTGTAATAACCCCCTGTAAAGGAGATTACCAAAGTTAACAGCCATGATTGAAAATAACTGGTCCCAGCTTTGTTTCAGTCCTCAATTTAGACACTGTTTGTTAACTGCTGGTTCTTGCTGAAGCACGGTGAATTTTGCTTGGTAAATCATTCAAAAGAGTGTTTCTCACTATATTAAAGAGGCTGAAAGGGGTTAGGAAAACCAATAAATTTCAAAGTATGGAAAGCCACAGACACAGAGAAATCTTTTATCAACACACAGCATTGTAGCGAGGCGCATCCTGACATGAAAAACTAATTTGCATGTTTACTGATGCATTGTGGATATTTGTTCAAAGCCTTTAACATAAGCTGTTAGTTACGCAGCACTGATTCATTTAAGTTCTGATGATTTCTCAAAGTTTTAATTAGTTCTGAGGAAATGTTTTATGCAGAAGTCGCAAGTCACCGTGAAGCAGACCTTCCCCTCCCCTCCTCCTGCAATTCAAAATCCCATGGGAGAAGTCCTGCATATTAGATTTGAGCAGAGAACGATAACGCTCCTTAAACAGAAAGCTGCAGCACTTGCCTGGCTGTCACACAGCACCTTGCATATTAGCACCCAAAGTGCTTTACAATGACAGCACACCCTTCCACATTTCACAGACAGACAACTCCAGCTGCGGAGACATTAAGTCATGTCTTAGGGAAGTATCACAGAGGTGACACCAAGAGGAGATGAGCAGCAAAGGCTTCCTGACTGTTGGGCAGTGTGCTTGCAGCAGCATGAAGTCCAGTGAGAGGAGCAGGTAGGCCTGCACAGCCCTCCATCAAACCTGCAGCCCGTGCTTCCATCAGCGTGGGGTCGCACTGCCAGGTAGAAGCCAAGAGGCTCACTTTCACCTACGCTCTTTGGAAGTGACACTGTGAGCTCACGGCCTCCCATTGCCTCCCCGTGCCCCCTGCTCAGAACACCGACCACCACTCTGTGTTCAGTCCTAGGGCACTGCTCAGGAATCACAGTGCAAAGTCATGGATGGCATCTGTGTCTTCACTGCCGTGATGGTGGTCAGAGCTGGGTTTGGCATGTGGGACTTGCTGAGAGGATGCCTTCCTGCATCTTCTAAGTTTTTTCCTTACTCCCTTATTTTACACATGGATATTCTCATAGCCCAGAACTCATTAGAACTGATAGACTCTTACCAGCAAAGTGATTAGATGAACTCAAAGAAGCCAGTGGTCCTTTAGTCCTCTCAGAAGTTTCCCCCCATGAAGAAAAAAAAAAACACTGGCACCAAACCTTTCAATAGCCTATTTAACTGACTGCTAACCCATTACAATGAGGCTATATCTCAAAGAAGAGAATAAGCACTACTCTGCAACAGTTATACTACAGCCTTCTTAGCAATTCCCTGGGTACTAGTGATTCTTTACAGTCAACTTCAGCTGAGATATTTTAAACAAGCCCTGAATGCTCACAGATAAACCCCTAAGGATGGTTAAAGGAATTCATTTGGGATGCCAAAAGCTTTGCTGGGAAATTTAAGTTACCACTGAGATATCCAAATACAGTATTCAGGGACACCGCAATATCCTTAATTATCCCCATTCCTCTGACAATGCTCAGTGTTCTGTATTTAAAAACCACACTAAAGAGGGAGAAAGCCACATCTGTGTAAACGGATGCTCATCCACCTGCAGTCATCAGGTAAAACCAACTATTTGGGACCTCACTTTGCTCACACAGCTTTTCACTTTGCTCTGCTTAAAGCAATACAATGACATTGCCGTCCAAAGGGCTCACAGGTTGCTACAGAAAATACCATCAGCTGCAATCTGATGACATTTGGTGGTGGTTAGATCATTCACAGTTACTGACTACCTCCACGGATGGTCAGTGGTTGAAATTTGGAAGATGAGCTGCTTGCTAAGCTGCTGTAACAGTCACTGAGGATCCTAGGAATAAACATGGGGAGCTCCCACTGGAAAATCTAGGATACTTTCATTCTTAATTGCTTTGATTACCAAGCCTACGTAGGAAATGTGTTCCTCTGAGATCCTTTAACCAAAAGATGCTGTGCATTCTCCTGCTGCTTTACACAAACTGTTACACCAAGCATGGCTTCCCCTTGCTGCACTCTGACCATCTTATTATTTACCTCTGTGGTACTTAACACATGACTTACGCATCATCCATCGAGGCTTGCAGGGGCTAAAGGAAGTGCAAAGTGTTTCATGGACTACTTTCCATATATCAAAGCCAATCCTATACATCTCCTACAGTGGTACAGAGCATCCATAGGTTCAGATCATCCCAAACCCCCTTAAGAGCTGATGCTTCAGCACCAGGCATTCTTCAATGTGGGTCTTGCTCTGTGGAGCAGGAAGCAGTTTTGTTTCCACATCACTGCAAGTCATGGCCAGGAGCCCCAAGTGACACAGCACTGCAGGGCTAACGCTGCTGATGTACCCGGCTAGAACAAAAGTTCAATAACAGTCACGTCAAAAAAAATTCACTTACTACAGCAGGGAACATTTTTGTGAAACAACAGCACCATCATCTGGTCAAAGGGCTGCTCTGCTTCGTGCCTTACCAGATCGCTCGTGGACGTTTTGGCATCCATCTCAGCAGCTCGAGATTCTACATTGATGCAACAGCTCTCCTGTAATCGTGCTTCGATTAAAAGTATATATATATATTCACTCAGGATGTCTTTTACCGTTTCACCATTGTTGTCTCATCTTTCTGGAGTCAATATTATTAATGCTTCTCTTTCCATAAGTCCCACAGGATGGGATTTTCAGACGCAACGGATCTTCACATGAGCTCAGGAAAAATCCCTCATCCCAAAAACTGCAAATGCATCCCTAGCCAGCTCCACTAGAACAGTGGGAAAGGTGGGCATTAATCCAGCCATGGCTCAAAACATCTTTTTGCAACCCATTGGAAAGGGAGCACAATGGTTGCTTTAGCACACATTTGTGCATGCTGTTCTTTTATGTTTGTTAGCTGTTAAGTAACAGAGGCACTCCTGCCTATTGAATGGCTAACTCTGTCTCCCTTGCAATGGGATGCAGCGAGTCCACCCACTGTCTCATTCTCTAAGGCATCCTACACAGCTGCCACAGATGATCAGAACAGAGCATAGGCCACCTGCTGCTTGAAAGAGAGGGATGCTCAGGGCCAGCAACACAGAGATGGAGACATGAGGAAAAGTAATTCATGCACAATATAGGTTAGAGGTAGTTTAGCCTTTTGGCTTTCCAGCATGCCTGAGGTGAGAAAGCTTTGTGCAACACAACAAATCCAAACCCTGCTTTTGGTACCTTTCCAGGACACATCATTTGATACATCAGATTGTAGTTATGCTTCTGAAGGCCTGATAAGGATTTTAAGCTGTTCAATCTTACTTTGCAGCGTAAGGAACACAGCACACTGCAGTGCACTACTTCCAGTGGCAGTACTGAGCCACTGGAAAACAGCCCAGGCATGGGAGTGTGATGCACCTTGGTCACAGAGGGTGAGTACTGATGAACAGTACTGCGTAATTTAGTACTTAGTGGTACAATGTACATTAGTAGTACATTAGTTGTACTAGTACATTACAATGAAGTTGCAGCAGGGCATTCACCAAGTGATTTTTAAAGCACACATCACTGATCTCTTAGCTGTGCAATATGCAGCACTTAAGTGATGGATCCAGAAACAGCTCTGCCACCCAGCCTCTGGGGAGCAGGAACATCCAAGGACAGTAACCCTGGCAGCAGCCACAAGTCCTGCTGTCTGCCTGACTGCCCCAGCAAAGCAAAGTGAGAACTTCAGTGGGGATGTATTCCAACAACCAGGTTGAACAGGGTGCAAAAACTCTCATGTTCAGAAGATTCAAACCAAGAATCTTCCTTAAAAGCTTTTAGCTAAGCCAATATATGTCAAGAAAATTTTTCTCATTTTTAAAAACCAGCATTTTCTACTGTAATAAAAAAAAAAAAAGCCTGGAAAGAAATCAGTTAGCTCTTACCTGTCTCACCTAAACTCATCAAATTCAGTCTAACTGAATTACATCAAACAATCGCAAATGAAGCTGGTGTGAACAAGCAATGCCCACACAAATCACACCTAAATCTGACCCAGATCACAGGCAAACACTACAGAAGATACATTTGGAATACAAGAGGTGCTGTCTGACCATCAGGAAGCACTTCTGTGCAGTGCAGATGACAGAGCACTGCCTCAGGGCACTGTGGAGTCTCCACCTTGAAGATGGTCAAACCCTGCCCAACAACAGGCCCAAACATCCTGCTGGGGATGGCCTTACTGCAGCAGGAGGAGAACCAGATGAACCCAGGATCCCCACCAACATCACTCACACTGTAACTCTGGGAAGACAAACTGCTGCATACCATAAGCTTAAATACTAGAGTTTCAAAATAAAGTCAGTTAAAGCCCTTCAGAAGTAAATCCACTGATGGAAAGACCATCAAAACACTGCCAAAATTCAACAGCTGTATGCTTGGGTATTTCAGTAGATGAACGCTCCGTAGTATCTCAAATGATCTGTTACTGCTAGCTAGAAGACATTCAGTAATTGAATGCAGTTTGCAATGCAGTCGGGAGCAGGCACACAAGATAACCACGCTGGCACCGCACAGCTCATTGTTTTAGGCTACAATTGACAAAACTCTACTGATGAAGATTAAATGCAGCTGCAAGACCCAAATGGACAAGATGGACAAAGTGCTGGGGAAAAAGAAATAGAGGAGTATGAAACTCAGCAGTCATACATAACTCATGAGAATGGCTGGGAATATTTCAACATGTATCTTTGGATACAGAGCACGAAGACTTGAATAAAAACTCACGAAAAATAAAGCTGTGTGAAAGGGCTGCTTATCTGCAGCAATGGCTACAAAGATTGTCTACACTGAGTGCTTTTGTTAATGGCAGAAATCATGATACTTCAAGAATACACAAAAGGACACTGCTAACTTTTAGAGTTGCAATGCTTCTCAGATTTTGGAGTCTGCAGGCATTTATCTCAACTCACTAAAGCAAACACAACTGTCTTCTGCTATATCAAAAACTGAAAAGCTGCCAGCAACACTTACGCGTACTTGCAGAAAACATTCTGCACGACTTCCATCTGGTATTCATCAATCCGAGTGGATGTAAGGATGGCATATGTTAGCATTCTCCCACAGCCCAGAGAAGGTAACCATCTCGCTCTCCTTGGTGGAAGCATCTCATTTTTTGCATCAGATATTTTTTTATTCGGTCGTTTTTAAACAAGCTTCAAACTCTCATATTGGAAAGCAGCCTTCTAGGCATTCCCAATGGACTCACCACCCTGCTGTGTGGTGCTGTGCCTGGGTTTCTATGGCACAAACCTACCTACAAGTCAGTGAGTCTGACAATCAGGCCACCGAGAGCTCCTGACCACACCACTAAAAGATATGTCGGTTGTTGCTTTGCCCACGGAGCACACATCAGCCTCCATATGAGAGAAAAGAGAAACAAGACTGAGACGCACTTTGTTTTCCATTATTTGTACTGTTAATTTTGCTGCAAGTCTTAAAACCACAGACAAGCTAAGTCTCCAGGATCAAACTAACAGTTTCAGACTTTTTTTTTTTCCTACCACCACCAATAGCGCATACTTCTCCAACAGCCTCACTGCAGAGGGAAAATAGCTGTCTCTTCTACATGGAAACAAATACAGAGATGCACGTATTTACTAAAATACAGTCTGGAGGATTAAAGAATTAACGTGGTGGCATATTTAAGTGCAAACAAATGGATGATCCAGCTGAACTCTGGGAGAACACAGGGGTTCAAGTTTCTGACTGATCAACCACTGCAAAGCAAAGCCCAGTGAGCTCGTGGCAAGATTCCCTTGCACGTGAGCAGACACCAGCTCAGGTTCCAGGCTTGCAGCACCAACACCAAGCCTGCTTTCTCAAATTTCAGCTAGCAGATGTGCAGCAGAGTTCTATCTGCCAAAGAGGCACAAGCTCGTGTTTGTTCTTTCTCATGTCTTCTTATTTTAAAACTATTTCTATTAAATAAATTAAACAGCAAGAAATGCCAGACAATGTTGGATGAATAGACAAAGGAATTCATCAACTATTAAAAAGCAAAACCAACAAAAATAGGTTCAATTGAAAACAGTCCCTCTTTCCCTTCACAACTATTTTCTTTGAATCTGAAAGTCCCAGCGCTGTTCTCTGCATTCCATGATATTAAACTCCTCAAAATTGAATGAGAAACACACAAACCTGAATAAGCAAGCTGGCAGCAAAGTTGCACCAACTACAGGGAAATGAAGCTTTCAGCATCACCTGCCAAGAACAATCCAATAAGGATTATTTCTAATGCTTTGTTTCATAAGGGAGAATAATAATTTTTTGCCAATATGGCCAGAAAATGTGATACAGAGAAAACACATCAGTGCAGAAAAGCAGATCCAGAGTGTCTATTCCAGCCTTCCCTGCCCAGGCAGAATTAGCTGTCCGTTTATCACCATGGGATGTTGTTCTGACATTTAAATGTGGTGGGGTTTTTTGTTGTTTGGTTTTATTATGCTTTCCCCATATCATTCCAATCCCAGTATGATTTTTTTTTTTCTTTGAATGGCAGCTCAGTTTTTGCACTGTGTTTAGGTAAGATCCTATCAACGTATTGGACAGCAGCCTGAGGACTGATCTTTGTCCAAATTTTAACTAACACAGGAAGAACGCAAACTATCAGAATTGTTTAACAAAGTTGTCTTAACAAACAGGAAAGCTGCAGTCACCTCAGTGCCTCGTTTGGGTGACAAACCATTTGTTGCCTGAATCCAGCCCTGCAGCTGATGGGCTCCTTGGCGCAACCCACCTGCAGCACTCTGAGCAGCGGAGCCTGCTGTTGGCAGCTGAAGATGGCAATGCTTCCCAGGACGGAAAAAAAAAACAGGGAAAATTACCTTCAGGCTCTCATCCTCCCAGTCTAATCCTTGTTAAAATGATAGCTGCAATAGAAAAAAAGGATGGAGTGACACAGTGTAAGGATGTGGGACAACACGACACGCAGCCTCAGTAGTGTATTTGTGCAGCAGGAGCACGACTTCCAGCATAACTATTCTTTCTAGAAATAAAGCAACTCCTCAGTGAAAGATTCCCCAGCTTGAGGGATGTTGTTCCACTGCCTGATCACCTTCAGTGAGAGTTTTGTACCAGATTTCCCGATTTCAACACCTCCAGTTTCAGATTCCACACACTGAAAGCCTCGGGCCAATTACCACTAGATGAAAACCATTTTAGAAGCAGAACCACCCCTATATTAATTACCCCTTCCGGTGTTTTCACACAATATGAACCTGAGAAAAGGTGTGGAAGAGTAATCTTGATGCAAGTGTTCCTTTGTACCATCTGAAACTGACATGCTATTCCCCTAACTATCAGAAGAAATCTTTACCATCTACATTTAGGGTTTTTCCCCCCATCTTAGTGCTGTAGAAGAAACGATAGCTATTGATTTCATGTGTAACTACCCATTTTTCTGTTTCCAGTATGACATTGTTCAGTAAAACGAATAAGAACAGGAGCAGTGCTTTATAGTGGCATCGTATTAATGGCTGTGGGACTAGCCGCATCTTACCAAGCTGTGATCATCAACAAGCCAAACCCAAAGCAGAAGATGTGCCCTCAAGCTTCTTACTTAATCTGTTTGACATAGACTTCATTTTTACATCATGGGACTATACATGGTCTGTAGAAGCAGTTCAGTCTTAGCTGTTTGGCCACCCACCTCCTGCACCGAGTAATGTAAAAACTGAATAAAAGTATACGAAGGTCCTTCTAGCCTCAGCAATCACTCATATTGTGAAAACCAGATTAGATCAAGAATTGCTCTTATTTTTCCAGTCTTGCCTCTCATCCAAGCACGTGGATTGAAACAGTTCATGCCTATTCATAATTTATTGGAGCATTTGCAACTTACATCAGAAATACGGGCCTAGCCTGCAGGAAAAACAATGACTAATAGCTGAAAGAGTGCGCTGCAATTAGTCACTGCAAAATACACCCGCGCTCACTGCTCGGTCCTCGGGTGCCAGCAAAGTCCAATAAGGGAAGTCTGTCACAAAATATGTCATCCAGAGAAATACACCACTGTCAGATGGCTGTAGCAGTTAGATCACAGACCAGGATTTTCCCCTCCTGGTACACACCTGAAGGAAAACCTATGTTTACAAGTGTTCCCAAAGAGCTGATCCCCTTAAGGAAGCTGATGGGAAGAGCTGTGCTCTGATTACATTCTCACCACCAGGACACGCTCATTCTCCTTTGCAAGACCTGGACCAGACTGTATTTTCTCTTTTCAATTCCAGCACTAAGCACAGAGACAAACAATTACAGGAGCTAGAAGATGTTGCTGCTCAGAGGCAAGTTGCTGCTCATCTGTCACCTCTTGCTTGTGTAGAATGGGGATTCTGCTCTGGTCACGTCAGCAACTCAGCAGGACATTGTAATTGATGTCCCTACTTCTCACAGTCATTTCTCCTCTCACTATGCTTTGCCAAATGTCACTCAGGATCCACCTGGGTGCTATTTTTGACATCCCTGCCATAGGGATCCTAGAGGGATCCTTGGATAAAGTCAGTCAGGAAGCATTTGTACATCTCAAGTCAGGTTTACTGAAAAAGGCTTTTGCTGACAACAGTGTTCACCTCTGTGGTCCTTCTTTCAAGATTCAGAGCATTTCCAGTATAAATCCAGATGCTGGAAACAAACACTACAATTGGTTCACGCTCTTCAGACTTGCAGCAACGCAAGGCATTTTGCAACCAGGAATTTCACGGGCAAAGCAAAGCTGGTTTAGAGATGCAAAGTTGCCACAGCATTTTCCTCTCCTTCTCTTTCCCCCCTTCTTCCTCCTTATTAGCAGCTGTCTTAACACACACTTCCTCTCGTGCCCCGGCCACGGTCAGAGGCTGTGCACTCACAATGTTTAGATGAGAATCATGCCTGCTTCATTTCTACAGTTCTACAGTTTCTACAGTTGCAGATGGTCACAATTAACAGCTTGCTTCGGAAAGGCAGAGGACAGTGCATCTGGAAGGAGTTCCTTGTGCTTCTATGGCACTGAAGGAGTTTCACATTAAGAGTTTCCAGTGTGCTTTCCAGTAACCCAGGTGACATTTCTATGGGATTTCACTACAGATTTTATTTACCATTATGGACAACAAAGCTTATGGAACTTGAGACACAACTTAGTTTTTAAAGGCAAGCTCCTTCCATCTGGGCAAGTTGCTAGGAAGAAGGTAAGAAATGGAAGATTTCAGGAATACTAACGGCCCTCTCTGTTCACATAAAAAGCGTGTTGCCTTCCTGAATACATTATGCTAAATCTGCATGCAAATGAGAAATGTATAAATAGAATTGGGCATTAACTGACATAAGATTTTTTTTTAAATGGAGATGAGGCAGAGGATGTTATTAAAGGAGTTAAGCTCTAACATCTGTTTTTAATTCTACTAGCTTATTTGTCTGTTTATACCTACAGGCTTTCAAGACATCACTTAACACTACTAATTAAAGCTGAAAGTTTTGTTCACAGCAATGCTTTCTTGTATCCCTGCAAGTACTTACTCGTGTCCCTGCTGCCATCGCAGGTGACAGCTTCTTGATGGAGGGATGACATGAGGCCAGAGTGCCTCCACAGGGAATGGGAAGAGGTTCACCTTGTCCCATCTGACAGAGGAGCAAGTGATGGATGGCAGCAACCATTACTCTGCCCACAAGTCTTTGTCTCAGCTCCAGGCTGGGTCATAATCTGACCCATTTTCTACCAGAGCTGAATTGAAGAACAAAACCAACACAACATTCAAAAGAATATTTTTAAAATGCTCCAGAAATGGGGCTCTGATTTAACAGTGTGACATTGACTACGCAGAGAAGATGCACCATGTTACAGATGCACATACATTCCAGCTTTTCTTAGCACTGAGAATCCCATCTGCACTCAGATTAAGAAAATTTGGCATTTTTTTCTTCAGGACAAGCAATGCAATGCTCGTTTGAGAGTAGCACTGCACAGGCAAGTAGTCCGTGGCTGTGGAAGTGCATGCAGAAGTGGCTGAGGTGGCTTACCATGAAGCACTTCACAAAAGAAGCCACAAACATAAGTACCAATGAGTTTATTAATTGTTTCATACTTTGTGCTTGAACTTCAGACATCCAGCCATAAATATTGTTCATTAGCCACTTACATCAGTTTGCTTTAAAACAGACACCCCACACCATTCCCAGCACACTGGTGAGAGGTCAAGCAAGCTGACAAGAGGCAGCCCATTATAAAACCCCAGTCTCTCAACCCTTGCATCATACATACTTTCTATCATAAGCCTACTATCGCTCATGCAACCAGCATATGGCAGCAGCTGTGATGCACAGTGGGCTGAGCAGACACAGACATGCAAAAAGAAGAGAAATCTAAGAGGTAATGAGTGAATCCCTGACTGTGCACAGTATCACGTTCACTTCTTGCCATGCAGTGGTTTTATTTTTTTAAACCAGGAGTTTCACAATCTGAACAGACTTTCTTCCCCTTTTTAGAACTGCCAGCGTGCTTTAAAGTGTATTTTTAAACCTGTTTCAGTCTGGAAGAGAGCTTTTGTTGCATATACTGCAGTGCTTATTACCTTGGGGCCTGGCTCCCTGGGTGAGGTGTCTAGACATCTCTGCAGTGGAAATAACTGCACAGCCCAGCACTGTCTTGAATCCACTAGTTTTAGAATTAGGAGTAATTTCATGCCCCAGGTTACCATAATCAAACACATCTGTTGCATGGAAATTATCCACTGCCAACTTGACTGCAAAGCACAACACGCACAGATTATCTGTGTTCTCAAGATCAACTTTACTTCCTAAAAGGCTGCATTAAGCACCACACGTCATAACACCATCAGCACAGGTACAGCCATTCCGAGACTCGCGTGGGACTCGAGCAGATCCAGAGACCAACTTTAAGGATAGGAGGACAATTCGTGGTAGGTTCAATGAGTGATATTGCAGACACTGAACTGCATGCCAGGAAAATAAAGACTGTCTGAAATACTTAAATATTTCCACAAAAATGAATTAGAGCATTCCTCTCAACCCTTTGAAACATGAGTTATAACAAAAACCATTAATTCAAGTCAATTTTTAGCCTCATTTGTCTACAGCTATACTTCCATAGTTTAATACGCAAAAATATTATGACAGATATGCAAATCCAATATTTTCAGGCAGGAAATCCCTATGTAAGTTTCAAGTATGATCATTAAAAGGAACCTGCAGCTGGTTTCTGTCATCTTTCTCTCCTTCATTCAATAAGCAGACCCACAGCTTAAGAAAAATGAGGATTTAGTCCACAGGAGGACAAGAACCACGCATCTCCCCACACAAGAGCAAGAATTTACCTTTTCCACGTATTGGCATTTGTCAAAGAAAAATGGGGTGAGAGGTGGTGTGTATGCAACCTCCTCAGGTATTTAGATGTAAAACTTCTCAAGTAAATGAAAGAAAATTTGAGTAATCCTATACAAGTATTTCACATTAATTTAGAACACTGTGTTTTATGCTTTCTTGCCTTTTGTAGTCTAATACTGATGCTGCTTTCCCACCGAATAAGGGAGACATTTTCTCAAAACTGCCACTTTTCTCCACAAAACAGAAGTATTCTTCCCATTCATTTTCCCTCCTTGCTGCACTTCTTTTCCTGGTCTCTGGTCTGAAACATACCATTACTCATTAGCTACATTCCACAGGTCCAGGAGGCTAAAAGCACACAGGATGCCAACATCCTCCGAATTACTCTTGTAAAGAAGCTTTTCACATCACAAAGCATCACTCACTGACATCAGACCATCTCTCACGGCTGCTCTGCACCATTACATCCCAACCACTACAAGATAAGCTCTCCAAGCAACACTGCCCCTCTGCAAGCAGAAACACAGACAAGGGCATCCACTAGCTAAAACTCAGC